AAAAAAAAAAAAAAAAACCTAGGAAACCAGACAATGTTAGATTAAAAAAATCAAATTTGAATATAACTTTTTAATATGAATATAACTTTTTCGCCATAAAACCCGTTTTCGCCATAAATATTGTCTTCCATACCATAATCTCCATACGATGCATTTTTTTAGTAATCGCGACAAAATTTCGATTTCGAATACATAATTACTATTCTTTTAATTTATTTTCTCCAATTTTTCATTTCAAATTTTCAGACGCGATTTTTTCTTTTTTTCTTTTTTTATTAAAAAAAAAAGCTTATACCACATTTCAGGATTGAGGAACCAAACTAAAGGGTATCAATTTTTTTTGAAAAATGTCTTGGTTATTAGTTACATTGTTTAATTTTTCTTATTTTTATTTGCAAAAAAATCACTCCAGATTTTATATCTTGCATTGACAAATCATGTAAAGTCCAATATTTAAACAACATTGTTAAGCAAATTGATGGAATATTGTTTAGAATAACCATGAAATCATGAATCTATATACCATTTATTGAATTCCATAATTAATTAAATCCATTACAAGCTAACAAAATTAACCAAGTATAAAAAACTGAAATTCCACTACTTACAAATTATAATCACACCTTAATGAATGGATCATTTGAAAATTTATGAACCAAAATCCTAATTCCAAATTCCATCTCTTAATTCCCTTTTCCCATTTAAGTTCACTGCAATCAACCTCATGTGCATGAACCCTATTGACACCATTTGCCTTTCCATTTCTTTCATCCCATGCATCTCTATAAAATTGCACCCCAAAACCCCTCCCAAATTCCACACCCACAAAAAGTCTTCTCATCACACACAAAACCATGAAATTTCACCACTACTACACATTTCTCTTTGCCATTCTCTTGGTTTCTTGAGCACGTTTCTGGAGGTGGAGGAAGGAGTGCTCTGCCTCACGCTGGTGCCGGCGAGGGGCGATATCGCAATTTTCGGGAATTTGCACCAGATGAACTATAGGGTTGGGTATGATATTGAAGGGGGGAAGGTGGATTTTCTGAGGACTGATTGTGCAAAGGAAGGGTGAAAGGGGGTTTTGTTTACAAGAAGTTTGATGTGTTTTGAGCATTCTAATGGTATTGTTCATCTGTTTGTTTGATAATATTATTGGCGAAATGAATGGTTGTTGGCTATGATCTTGTTGTGTAAAATACAAAAGTGAGGTATGACTGCAAAATAATTTCAGGTTTATTACTTTATCTCTACAAAACATTTTATTATAGAGATAAAAAAGAAAAGAAAAAAAAAACAATTTAACATATATTATTTTTCAAAAAAAAAAAAGGGGAGGGAACAAGAGAATATACCCAAGAGCCACATGGTCTGCCTTGATCCCGACTTAGCCGAACCTTCTCCAAGAGCCGATAACCTTTTAGAGCCACGCTGGACAACATAATCATCTAGCCACGTGCCAGTCCACTCGTTCATTCGAAATCCCAATCGTTCTCGCCAAACAATTCCGTACTCGCACGTCCATTCGAAATGTTTCCCCTGCAATCGAGACTTTAATTAGTCATGGATCTCTCGCGAAATTGGACCTTGTCTCGTTTAGCTAGCTACAATAGTCAGTTGAGCCCACCAATGCGCATGGCTTAGCTCAACCCCACGCTTTATGAGCCAATCGAGCCCACATGAGCCCACATCCCCACAAGGCCTTGTATAGTCCTGCAATTCAACGGTTGTTCGATTGAGCCCTCGACTTCACCCGACCTAACACCGGGTTAGACCCAACATTCCACCCACAATCCAAATGGACAAGATGTTATCAAAACCCAATACTAGGCCTCGACTAATCCTCAACCCATATGCCACGTGAATGGCACATGGTTAATCTCAATACCCTACCTCTCCAAAAAAGGAGAAAAAAGAAAGAATATTGTCGCAAATTGCACAAGTCCTCATTGCCAAACGTACACTCGACTGAACCTATGTTTAGCCCAAAGATGCACCAAATCGACCTTCAATTCAGCCTCCTCGTCAGGATAGCCCGAAACTTCCAGAACTGATACCTATGAGAGTGCGATGACATTTCTCGACAGACATAAACGACTTCGGCCTCTAGTTTGATCGTATTTTTATTTATTCCAATTGTTTATGTTTATGTTCTTTCATGTTGGGCTTTTTTTTTTTATTTTTTATATTTGGGTTTCTTGGGCTTAGGTTGTAGGACTTGTGAAACTTATTTATTACAGTTGTTCATTGTGTTATGGGCAGTTAATATCAGATTTTAGAAACAAAAACGAGTTTATGCAGTTCAGAGAAAACCTTCTCTTCGTTCAATAGAACCCAACAAAGCCACACATAAAAACTCCAGCAACCTCCACCGCCGTGTTCCTCCGGCGAATCCCCGCCGCCCCTCATCGTCAGCCTTCCTGAGTAGCTGTGGCTCCCTCTTCCCCTCCAAATCCTCCCAAACTTTTGTAGGGATACGAAAATACTTTTGGGACGGGTTTTGGCTCAAACAATTTAAACCACACCAGACAGAAGATGCAGGTCTCTCCAATCAAATTGCAAGTGTTTTCTAGTTCTTCTCTACCTGCCCCTATACATCCCGACCTGAACCCGGGTCGTTTTGGAATCCGAACTCCCCTGGATCGCCCGCCGGACCTCTCAATTAAGCTCGCGGCGACTTCGAACAGCAAACCATGTTCACCGGCGGGAGAATTTATCCGGCATCTCTCTCTGTCCTCTGTTCTCCTGGTGGGCCTGGGCTTGAATAGCATTTGGGCTTGCCCGTCCGCAGCTGCGGCCCGTATCCTTCCTGCCTCTACGTCCTCCTCGGGGCACTCGCAGGAGAGTCTTGGTACAGTGGCGGCTTTGCTTTTGCCTGCTTTGTGCTTTTTTTATTTTTCCTATGTTAGTCACGGGATTGTACTTTCTGCAGCATTATCGTACTCACTGTTGATTGTACTCTGATTATCAGATTAAGCATTTTGCTCAATGTGTGCAGTGTTTTTGGGTGGAGGAGATGTTGTCGAGCAGATTGTGAATGTGTGTGTACTTGATTAATTTTCTCTTTTCGAGTTTATGAATATTGGGTATGCCTCATTGTTTATGCTGTAAATTGTCTTGTGTCTGCCAATGTTGAGCAATAATATCTGCCTATGGAAAACACGTTTTCTTGCGAATCAGCCATTTGCTTCATGCTATTGTAATTGTATGTAGTAGTTTGAGATATAAAACGTGAGAGTAGTTTCAAACATATTAAGGAGATAATTAACTAAAGGGATTTCCTTCACTTTTATAGTTAACGGTAAACCCGTTTACGTTTGCAGAGAATGTGGTTGTGGAGGAATCCGAAAATTTTGAGGATGAGGATATGAAATTAGCATTTGAAAAGTGGAAGTCTAAATCGTATGCGTTAACAGTCCCTCTGAGAGTAGTTGCTCTCCAAGGTTCATTTCCTTCTGTGTGGCTACGGGTTGGTACTACATCTTCCATTTACATGCTTTAATATATTGGGTAAAATTTTAATATCGTTAACTCGTATGTTTCAAAATTAACCACCTAATTCTTTTATAATACGAGGAAAGTACCGCTGAGTATCATTTTTGCGCTACACCGTCACCCAACAGAAGTTACATTGTGTGTAGGCAACATATTTTTCATCTTTACCACATTCTCCCCCCATTTTTTGCTTTCATTTGCCATTGTGCAAAATGGTGATCCTCATAATATTTTGCCCATGTATTTGTTGATATTAGATTTGATGCTTTAGCACTTGCAGGATTTCTTGCGGTCTCAAGGTAAAAGGGTCCGTTTCCGTCCAGAGTACCGTAGAAGCCTGGGAGATATATTTTATGAAATTGTTGATCCATATAAGAAAGGGAAAATCAATCCTAAATCTGCCGTGGCAGCTGATCTCGTTACTCTTGGTGATTCCTGGCTGAATTTTGCCATTAGCAAGGAGTTAATTGAGCCCATCCAAGGAGCAGAAGACCAAGTTTGGTTTCAGGAACTGAGTGATAAATGGAAGGTAAGATTTTTCTTAATTAGTGGGTAAAATTAGTAGTCAAGTGGAAAGACCAAAGAAATTTATAACCATTATTGATTGCTTTGGAAGTCGTTTATTGGACACAAGGCTCATGATCATTATTCATTAGTCCCTTAACTTCAAAAGATTCGACTCTTTCTTATGGTAATTGCTAAATACTGCGTTACTATTTCTATTTTTTTATACTTCTGGTTCCCGTTTGACATATGTACGGGAGATGAGAATTTGAATATTGCTATTCATCTGAATATTCTCATAATTCTCAGGAATATTTACGCAGGAGCAGTGACGGAAATTTAGATTCTGGGGGCAGAATTTATGCCGTGCCATATCGTTGGGGAAGCATGGTGATAGCTTACAATAAAAAAGAATTTCAAAAGCATAAATTGGCACCAGTAGAGGTAAAATTGTTACTGTTCTTGAATCTTTCTACGGTCCTGATCTTGCTTTGTGGGAACTCGTACAAGCTGCGAATGCAGGTTCAGTACTTCTGTTAAATTACAAGTCACCCTTAGGTTCACAAAAATACGCAGCTAACTCTGAGGAAATAGCAAAACTTATACTAGAGATTTGATTATGCTTATATTTTACTCCAACCTTTTGTTGACCTTATGGGAATTCCTACTTCGATCATGTATATCACAATTGCACTTTCGACCTTTTGGAACTACGAATAGCCTCAACTTCTGATGTTTATTTGGGATGCTTGAGCAGCCGATCAAGGGATGTAAACCTAAAATCAAATCTTATGTATTGTAAAAAGAAATATATATAGACACACACACACACACACACACACACACACACACACACACACATATTTATATATATATATATGCAAGTTCTGCAATTTCCGTTAGCTCCATATATGAATCTACATGCAGGACTGGTCTGATTTATGGCGCCCTGAACTTGCTCGAAAGATTTCGATGGTTGATTCACCCAGGGAGATTGTTGGAACAGTTTTGAAGTACATGGGGGCATCATATAATACCACTAATATCGAGTCCCAAGTATTTGGCGGGAAACAAGCAGTACTGCAACAGCTGCAAAAGCTTGTTCAACAGGTAAGAAAGATAAAATTGAATTTCTGTTGCTCGGTAGACGTATAAGACACAAATGTTTCAACAGTATTTCCAACATGTGAGACATATAATGCAGAAATTGTAGCATTTTGAGTAGCATTAATCTCATCAATTTGTAAGTAGACATTTTTGGTGTCAAATTTGTGTTTTTTTAGCTGTTCATCTAGATTGTGTTGATTTTTATGTAATATTCTTAGCCAACCGGAAAAAAACATAAGCTGAGTCATAACTCAACATAATTCCACTTCTTGACACGGTTTTGGGGTATAGCTTAACATAATCTCGTGTTATCCAAATCCCATTTTCCGCCAGTTGATAATGTAGAGTCACGAATTTTTCGACTTGTAGTTCAAAAGGATTTAGTTTTATGCAGGTCCGATTTTTTGATACTAAGGACTATTTGAAAGCCTTTAAAGCAGGACAAGTATGGGTGGCCGTCGGTTGGAGCAGTGATGTTCTTCCCTTTGCCAAAACACTGTCAAATGTTTCGGTAATAGTTCCCAAATCCGGTGCTAGCTTGTGGGCTGATTTCTGGGTATGTCAATTCCTTTCATTGAAGATATTTACACTCTGATTATTTGATAGTATGTTGAAGCTGGGTTTTATAACATATAAACCTGTCGTGTGTTTATTAGGATCTTCATATGAAATCCACTCTGATTATCATTATGGATTTGATTCTATAGACCTAAAATTGTGCACTTGATCCCAAAAAAAAAAAAAAAAAAAAATGAAAAAAAAAATTGAAAATGGCGCAAGAAGGTCAATCTAGGTCATTCTCCAAAAAAGATTCGGAACTTGGAAAAACTTAAAAATACGGGAACAACCTAAAAAAGAACTGAAAAACCTAGGAAAACCCTAATAATTGAAAAGGAACATTGAAACACAAAGGTAGCGATTGGTTTGCAATCAAAACTGGTTTTGATCGATCATAATTCATAATTTAGTTATTCACTTTAATTCGAAATCTAACTCAAATTTAACCCAACCCCATTTTCCTCAATATCATCACTACAATTAAATAATATCAATCATCTATCATATGCATAACATCAACTTTCATTGACCATTCATCTTCTCACATATTTTTAATTACCTAATTTATACCAATTATCTCTCCTACTTTTACATCACATCAACTTTAATCATTGTACTAAATATCGGCCTAGGCGCCGCTCGACCGCCTTCGACAGGGACGGATCTACATGTATGATAGGGGGGAGGCCATTGTCCCCCCAAGATTTGTAATTTTTAGTAAGATATATATGATAAGTATATCATTTTTCAATAACTCACACAAAAAATAATTATATTACTCTTTCAGCTAATAATTCAACTACATTTAAACTCTTTTTACACTTTTGTATAACATTTTTCCTAATTTAAATAAATTTGAATGTATACTCTTTTTACACTTTTGTATAACATTTTTCCTAATTTAAATAAATTGAATGCATGGTAAATATGTGAGAACATAAAATTAGTAATTTTTTTGAAAAAGAATACCATATAAGATATGCTTAACGGAAAAAAAAAAAAAATATCAAAACTATTTGTGTTTTTTTTTTTTTTTTTTTCGAATCAACAGAATTTATAGATAAAAAATTCATGAGTTGAGAGAGCGTTCAATGAAAATTTGTTACTATCAAGGTCTAAAACTTTATAATTTATATTGCAACATCATTATATATAATTTTATAATACGACTTTCTATTTTTATGTACATTAAACTAAATCTATGACTATTAGAAAATATATAGTCCCCCTCAAAACAAATTTCTGGATCCGCCCCTGGCCTCTGATTTGCATGAATTATCTGAGAAAATCAGTCAGGAGGCTCGGCGGACTCGGCGACAGTTTTTAATTTTTTTTTTTAAATACTGATTACATTATTTTGCATCATATTGTTTATAATATATTAATATTATTATTTGGACTTATGTGTGGATTTGTATAATTGCGATAATTTTATTTTGTATGTAGTGAAAATAAATAAATATAAGTTATTTAATCTTAATTTCTAAGTACCGCCTATGCGCTAGGCGCTGGTCGAGCGCCTACGCACTCTAGATGCTAGGTGTTGGTCGAGTGCCTAGAGATATCTAGACTGACTTTAATCATTACATTTTAAACATTACTTAAATGCAAACTCAAAATTCCACTCAATGAACCTTATTTAAAATTAATTTACTTTAACTCGAGGTACAATCAAAATCAATTTTTACTGGTTTTAACTCAATACCAATCACGCTGTAAAATTTGGGGTTTGTTGTGTACTACTCTCTGATACAATGCTCTTGAGATTTTGCCCAACTTTTAAACATATTGATTCATCAAACTCACAAATACCCATTGGCATATAATTCCCATTTTTTTGGCTTTTGTCGTACTTGCAGACAATA